TCAACTTTTACGAGAGAGATCTCTCTCTCTATAATAAGAATCAATGGGAATTTCTTCTCAAAGAATCAAGATTTGGGTCTCTCTCTAGAATAGGAATCAATGGGAATTTCTTCTCAAAGAATCAAGATTTGGGTCTCTCTCTAGAATAGGAATCAATGGGAATTTCGTGTCAAACAATCAAGATTTGGGTCTCTCTCTAGAATAGGAATCAATAGGAATTTCGTGTCAAACAATCAAGATTTGGGTTTCTCCCTAGAATAGGAATAAATAGGGAATGTCATCTCAAATAATCAAGAACTGAAATCTTGAAGTTCTCCCCAGTGGAAGAGGAGCATATTGTGTGTTTTTTTATATGGGTGCGGTTTATATAGAGCCTAGGCTCTAAACAATCAAATAGTGTCGTGAAATGTGGTTTCAATATAAATTTGAAAACTATTTAAAGCTTCAAAAATAGTGTAGATCGATAGATCTATGAAAACTTGAAAATCTTGAAAATTGACGGTAAAAAATTGTTACGAAATACACTACTTCGAAAACTTGAAATTCATTTTTTTTCTCATGTCCATGTATCTTGATGTCGAGATGATCAATTTTAGGATATTTGGACATCAAAACAATCTCTTCTACTGAAATGTTTTAGGTAGGCTCTAATTTGATTGTTTAGAGCCTCAGCTCTATAGAAGCTTTTTCCTTTATAAGATTTCATTGAAGAAGTTCAAAGAGAAGAATTTCCAAACCTAGTTGCATGCTTTTATGCCAAGAATATGAGACGCTGGAGAAAGAGAGAGCTTTAAAGCAAGCCATGAGAGAGAGTGTGTGCGAGTAAAGCCAAGATCATTGCTTGATTGCAGGTATAAGAATGATAAAAAGGAATATTGATAGAGAGAGAGAGTAAGGAATATAATGAGAATTAGAGAGAGAGTGAGTAACATCACTTTCTTTGCTTGATTATTGACATAAGACTAACAGAGCACTTTTGTGAGATTGAGAGAGAGAGAGAGAGAGAGAGAGAGAGAGAAATTCAGTCAAACACTTCATTAATTCATAAAACAGTGCTGTAAACACCAAAGAAAAAGCAAGGCAACGTTCACATTAAAGGAGAAGACTAAGAACCTGCAAACACTTCTAACTTGAATAAAAAATGGAGAACAAAAAGGAGAAGGAAACATGGTCATCCGAGAAACTTGTTAAGAACATTTGAGATGGGCAAAAGGGTAAAACCAAAATATTATGTCCGCAAAGGAGCATGTTTTCCATTAACTCTCTCAGCTGAAACCATTTTCATTAGCATGTTTATTTTGTGAAAGGTGATAGACTTTAAACTTTTCTTAACCCATCCCATGCCCGGGTGAAGGGGCTGAGTTGTATTAAGTAGGCAGTCAATGTAAAATTTTATCTAATTCATCATGAATCTTAAAACTACAACATCTGTTTATGCAAGCACGTTTCCCAGAAGCAACGCATTGTACCGGAACCCAGATACCGTGAAAAATGAGCAAAGGGTAGCTAAAACGTGTATAGCATTAAATAGGTTAAAATGACAAACCAAAATCATATAGCCGACCTCAATTAAAGAGGAAAAAACTATGATGATGATGTTTATTTTCTGAAGATGTGGCTTCCAAAACTATAGCATTACACTGTTTTGGAGGCTGTTAGAGGATACTACATTTTGGAGAAGCTGCGGCTTCCATGCCACTTCATGAAAAGCTACCGCTTCGGGAGTTGTGGAAGCGGCCGCAAAGAAGAAAGTGCTTTGGCGGCCATCTCTTTTACCAATCAAACACGAGAGAGGAGTGCGTTTAGGACCCCAGATTTTGCAAATGTAACCTTCTCAAAATTGTAACCGACGACAAAAAAATAAAAAAAGAAACCCGGATGTAATCCTATTCTTTGTGTGCCTAATAAGAAGTAGCCTCCTATGCGTGTCCAATAAAAAATAGTGTCCCATTAGATCGAACAGATATTGTTGATTTTTTTTAAGTGTTTACAAGATTTTTTTTTTTGGGTGTGGTTTCCATAAAGTTGTAACCTTAAACAATCCAACTAATGCACACCTTCAAATTTTATAATGATATATAATTTTGATGTAAAATATTACTAGGATATCTCAAAATCTATTTCCATATCTAATTATAAAATTTTAAGCTCAAAAAATGATTAAAATCAAGTAGATCTCTAAATATATAAAAATCTTTAAAATTGACGGTTTAGATAACGTGTTGTAAAATGCACCATTTTTTAGACTCAAAATCCTTTTTTTTTTCATATTCATATATTGCAATATCAAGATGATCAATTAGAAGATTTTTCAACATTAAGACAACATTTTCCGACGGATTTTTGAGGTGCATCTGTAGTTCTATATTTTAAGGTTGCTACCTTATACAAATTTTTTCCTTTTTTCTTAAACACTCATATTTGTAAAATGGATCCCAAAATTTACTATAGAAAAATATTACTCGAGAGATGTGCAGTGTGCTCCTACATTAGATTGTTCAAGCTAATGCCGTAAAAGATATAACGCGATATTGGATCCATTTTAAAAGGGAAGGGGCTTGAGTGGTTACTAGGGGTGGCAATGGACCCGGACCGAAGGGGTAGACCCGATCCGGCTATGGGTCCAGGTCCAGGTTTGGTAATATTTTTTGGGTTCCAATTTATTTAAGGGTGTGATTTCATCCAATGGTTATATAGTAATATAATACAACCACACTTGTAAAAAATCATGTTTGTAGCATTTATGTCACCCCAAAAATTGTATATACCCTCCCTTCATCCCAATAGTTAATTTCTAAAAAAAAAATTGAATTTGCATCATAGATATGGTTAAAATGAATCCCCTTAATGAATCTAGACCATCCATTTGGTCAATTTCAAGATCTAGACCTTTACAAACTCAAAACCATTCTTTTTCAATAATGTTCATCTAATGATAACAAAGCTATCTAAAAATTTTGAAAAGAGAAAAATCCTTCTAAAGCCTAGATCTAAACACCTTAACAAAATAGACGGCTTATGTTAATCAAGCAAAAATAACACTTTCTAGAGTGCATTTTTAAAATTTTGTTTTTTGCGTTTGTTCAATGGAATGAAAAGAATATACATTTAAAAATTGAGATCAAACGAATAACACTAACATGGTTTTTTAAAGTTGTTGCATTATATTAATATACAACCATTAAATGAAATCATTCCCCATTTATGAAATATATTTAAAAATACATAGATATTTTAATATTTAGATCAGGCTGCAATCAGGTCTGGATCTGTGTCCAAATCCAGCTGGACGCAACCAAAACCGTTGCGAACCCTAGTGGTTAACAGCTGATGTTTGGGAGCGCTCTGAAGCTCGATTGGTATTGCTGAACTAACAAAAGTATCAATTGTCCAAAAAAAAAAAAAAACAGAGCCAAAGCAATTGAAAGGAAGGCCTAAAAATATGAACATAAAAAACAAGCCCAATGCTAAAAGACAATTGTGCCCATTTATTCCTAAAATTGGTCTAGTCCTTCCAAATGCCAACAAGAGTCCAGTACTCTAAACATGGCAATTCTAACCTTAGGGCTAGGAGATTAATAATTTCACTACACAATTCACTGACCTAGTGGTCACTCCCTCATGTGGCGGTTAGGGCTAGGAGATTAATAATTTCACTACACAAATCACTGACCTAGTGGTCACTCCCTCATGTGGCTTCTCAGTTAGAGCTTTGCCATGTCCTCCTTGTGGTGTGGAGCCAAGGTTAAGCTTTTGCGTGGGGCAAACTATAGTCGGGAAGATTGCATTGGATGCATTAGTCTGGCTATTTGGACTATCGACCAATGCGGCCGGTCCAAAATAAAAATTGAATTGATCGAGAATCGATCAAAACCAATATTTAATTGATTTTGACATGATGTATTAGCCGGTTTTATCAGTTCGATGAGCTAAATTAAATTCAGCAAAATTGTTTTCATATATTCCATAAAAAAAATTTAACTACAATTTCTATTTTTTAATTTTTTAAATTCCATCCAACCAAATCGAAAACAAGTTTTAGGAGATACACTATTTTTACAAGTTACAAGTCCTAAAAGTAATAGATCTTGTAGGACTGTCAGAACGGTCAAAACCAAACCATCAAAAATTGTAAAACAATTTTTACAAGATGCATTGCTAGTAGAACTTCATATTCTTTTTTTCTTATCCATGCATCTCAAAGCCGAGATGATCAATTGAAGAATTTTCCAACATTGGAACAATACTTTCAAGGAGAACGGTAGAATAAAAAAATATACCATTCAAAACCCCACAACAAGCTGTAGTTCTGATGCTAAAATCTCTGCAAATTGATCATTTTGACTTTGACAATTATGGATATTTTGGAGCTTCAAATTTCATATTGGACATTGATGTTTAGCCATCACATATGTTTCTAGCATTGGAACTGCATTTTGTAGCACGGTTTTGAGGTATGCCTTCAATTTTTGATGTATTTATGCTGACCGCACCCATATGAAAAAGGCTATAACAAAACCATACAATACATGAATATTCACTGCCTGTGCCATGTTCCATATAGGCATTTAAAGAGGGAAAAAAATTATATAAAGGTGAGGCCCTAAACAATCAAACCAAGGCACATATCAAAACCCTCAATTCGATCATCTCGGCCTCGAGATGTAAATTGATTTTAGGTATGGAAAATAGTGCATCTTATGATGTATTACCTCGATCATCAATTTTCAAGATTTTCAAGTGTTCATAGTTTTACACTATTTTGTAATATTTAAATTTTATAACCAGAGATTTAAAATAAACTGTCGGACCTTTATGCCATTATAAAGATTAATGATACTGAAACAACATATTATAACACTATTTTAAGGTGCGCCTTACTGACTTAGCCTTATACAGACCACACCCTTTATAGAGTGCATCTATATGAGAGAACTGAGTCTCAAATCTCAAGCATATTAGTCTGATGACATAAACGGGTAGATCAGCACTAGCAGAACTACTAAATATGTGCAGAGAATTAGGCTGCCAAAAAGACAAGAAAATGTGTATGTGCGTATGCGCATGTATATTTATGAGTGTATGAGAGAGAGAGAGATCATAATAAAAAAGGGAATCTCAAAACCAATGTGAGTCAAGTAAGAGAAAAAAAAATTAAATGGTGAGACACAACCTGACAAATGTTAGATAGCCAGTGTGAGAGAGAGATCGTGTGTGTGTGAGAGAAAGAGAGAGAGAGAGAGCGAGAGAGCTCATAATAAATAAGAGAAGCTCAAAACCAATGTAAGTCAAGTGAGAAAATTTTTTAAATGGTGAGACAGAACCTGGCAAATGTTAGATAACCAGTGTGGCCCCTTGACTCAGAACACGGTCTCGCAACGACACAACTCGCTGTCTCCCTCACAACATTACTGCTGTGTCCATTAGAATATGGTCTCTTGCGTGGAAGCGAACCTACAAAATCCCCCTCCTCTATTGTACCCAGTCCCTCCTTCCCCCCACGAACTTCATATGTGCGAAGTAGAATCTCAAATGTTCTTATATCTGCATAACCAAAAATGATGCATGAACACTTTGATTATTCAATTCCAGGAGAAACTGGTAAATGCTAATAAACCATACAATGCTAGAAGACATCATATGCTACTTATTAGGATTTAGCACTAAATCAGTAATCAGTGAACTTCGAAATCCAACAAAGAAAATATCAAATTCCAATGCCAAATCATAACTAGTAAATTTTTATTTACAAATTCAAGTTCGACACTGGTGTATGATCTGCCTTGCTACTTGAATATAAAGTTAGAGCCAGTGTAGAAAGCCCTTCACACGCGCACCTGTCAGTGGCTGGTTAACCCACAAAATAAATTTTACACAGTAGTTGGTTAACCCAAAAAAAGGAATTTTTGCAAGTTGGGAGAAAACAAAAGGTTTTGGTTATTATCCAGTTGAGTTTTAACCCTTTTATACAGTGGAATAATTGATTCTAAAATCCAACAACCAATAACTAGGTTACCTCACTACTGTAGCATACTCCTTTTCTTCACACGTACAGGTGGAGAGGAACAGTTGGCACTCCGAAGGCAAGCCACTAGACACGAAGGCTGATGGAATATTCTGGCCGCGATTTCCTCGAGCTAGATTGATGCTCGACAGGCCTTCCCAATAATCATACAAACATGCAATGATACAAGGAAAGAGAAGGCTGAGCATGCTTCTCTCTCTATCTCTACTCTCTAGGCCTTTACCTCTATCTACTCTCTAGGCCTTTACCTCTCTCAAAGAGGCAAGACGTGGGGTGCTCTCTCTTATTAGGGGCCCTCTCTCTCTCTCTTGGGCACATATCTGACTCTTTCTTGAGATAGAGGTCCCCACCACTTTATTTATAGAAACTTCCTCCTTCCGTTGCTTCAAGATATTTAGATTAGGATTCCTTCGTCTCAATGTAAGTTTGGATAGAGACCAGAAAACTCAATATCGCCATGGTAAATAAGCAACACGAGCATGTACTGTTTTCCTCACGGTACCAAAACCAATGTTCCAAAAAAACAGTCCACCCAGCCTAGTGCCTTTGGGCGCCTGCCTAGGCCTGGGCAGCCATTGGCCCTCCTAGGCACGAGCCCAGGCAGGTGCCCAGCGCCCAGGTTTTGAGCCCTTTTTTTGCAATTTAAATGGCCCCCAAGGGCACTTTGGGTAGTTTTGACCCACGAGATTTTTATAGAAGAACAATGGGGGTAATCTAGGAAAAAAAAAAAATCGAACTTAGCCCCCAAAGCAATTGATTTTGATAGTTTTGTGAATTGAAAAAAGAATACGAGGCTTGAAGAAGCATCCAAAAGCTTAGCCTTCATTGTTGGATTTTTTTTTTTAGGGTGCTAGTGAAAGTATTCGAAGGCTTATGCGATTGTTTCTAGCTCGAAATATATCAAAAATCGAAGAACAAATTATGAAGAAAGAAATATCTCCTCTCTCTTCTAATGTATTTCAGTTTTCATCTCGTCTTGAGTAATCCATCCTCTTGCATTGGACATTTGGGTTATTGAGTTTATACTTCTTTTTTGCATTTCATCTTGTTTAGTCGTGATCGTATTCATGTGTCACTATCGAATATGCCATACTCAGTTTGGATTGGATAGTTGGAGGTTAGTACACCATGGACTTGTTTATATTTTTGACTTTTTTCATTAAATTTTCAGTTTTGAACGTGTTTCAAGATCCATGCATATATATTTATGGAAAAAGTTAGTTTAGTTAGAATACATATAAATGCAAAACAATACAAAATTAACAAAAATGTTTGCATATATGTGCTTTTAAAGAGCACATATATGCAATTTTCACCTTAGGGTGCCTGAGGTTCTGGGCACCCACCTAGCGCCTGGACCTGGGCACCAGGCTGGCCACCTAGCATTTTTTGAAACATTGACCAATACTAGTGATGCCAAATACTAGTGATGCCAAATGGTCTTCCTCCTGTCATGTATTTTTTGCTTTCGAAGCAATATTCCAAACAGGTCACTTCCATCATGATATTAAGGGTGTTAGAGAAGGTGATAGGCAAAATCAACACCCCATACATATCTTATGACAAGTAGGGTAAAAATTGAGTAAATAAAATAGAAGCTCAACTTAATTAGTAATCTTGGTCACATATCTTAAGTTTGAGATATATGTGACATCTGGCACTCCTATCTAGTATGGGGTTCACAACCTTATACGCATGGAATTAGAAAGGAAATAATTTGCATGCCCTAGTTGAATCACCATATGGGAAAGGTGAATTCCACTAAAGAGAGAGCAGGGGTGTCCTGCATTAAAAGGCAAAGCCTGCACAAAGAGAGAAATGAGCATCTTATGGAAAGAATTGTTGTGATGGGGACTCCTATAAAATAAGAGCCTGATTCCTTGGGGAGAAGTGGTTCTTATAAACACTTTGGGCGGTTTTCTCTTCTAGTGAAAGGAAGTCCTAGTTACTCTCAAGGTTCTGTTATAGACAATAGTTTAGAAGTGGAATAGAGACGGGTGATTGGTAGTTGATGTCAGACGAGAGAGCAGTCGAAAAAGGTTGCTCGACAAGGTTTTTACGAGGGTTAGAGAAGTAATTGTGTCCCTAAATATACGATGTAACTCTCATCCATATAGTGGATTTCAGTTTGTCATGCCCATGGATGTAGCTCTTTTGGGTTGAACCACGAAAATCTTTGCGTTCTTGTGTTATGTGCATTTTATGCTTTATTTTTCATATTATGTTTTGTATTCTCACGAATTCTTCTAAGGAACCATTGAATTTCTAAGGAACCATTGAATAAAACATATTTATCCAAGGCCAAAAGATCTGCCATGGGCAACTGATCCTTCTCATCAAATTTAACCAAGAACAAGACTCCTTCTAAGACCTAGAACATGTCTGAGACCCGGAATTGTGCATGTCACTCCACTGAACATCTTGAGTCTTACATCTCCAACTCCCACTATTTTTCATGGGCCATTATTCTTATGTGAACAATACCTCCCTCACATGGTTGGTATTTATAGAACTTCTTATCAAATTTAACCAAGAACAAGACTCCTAAGAACATGTCTGAGACCCGGAATTGTGCATGTCACTCCACTGAACAGCTTGATTCTTACATCTCTAACTCCCACTATTTTACATGGGTCATCATTTTTATGTGAACAATACCTCCCACACATGATTGGTATTTATAGAACCAATCCCTATGTGGAGTTATGTGAAAAATACACCTGAATCAAGTAGCCAATAATGAAAAACTGCATTCCTATCCACAGACAAAACCTCTCCATCTTCAGAAAATTCAATTTCTTTTAAAATCTCTCACTAAAAGGGGAAATCACCCAATATCTCCATGAAAACTGCTTCTCCACAAAATACCAACCTCACACTTCAGTAGGCCCCATCGCAGTGTTTCTCTCCATGTGAAGCTCATTCTCTATATGCATAGACCTTGCCATATAGTGACCCAGCTATAGCTAGTCAACTTTCCTATATGGTGACCCAACTAGTACACACAAGTTTTTCTTTCTCATTTTATATATATAAGGTTATGAATCTTGTACCAGATAGGAATCTCACAGATGTCACATATAACGCAAGATATATAACCATGCCTCCTAATTTAGTTGGACTTTTATTTTCTTTACCCAATCTTAACCCTACTTACCATTAGATTTCTATGGGGTGATGATTTTGCTTATCACCTTCTCTAACAATCGCCACCTTAATAGTCAAGTCATCTGCTCACCATGCCAATATCCATCGGAGAGTTTTATGATTTCTTCCTTTTTTTCCAAATAAATATGTCATTCTTGTTGATGAAAATTATGTTCACCATCATATTTCTCCACCTCGAACAAAACACACATATTTTGCCATGTGTTTCTCTTTGATTGAATTCACAAACCCAAGCCTCGTACTGAAATATGCGCCGACTCTTTGAGTTTTAAGAACCCTTTTAGATGCTAAAACAGGAACCTAGAAGTTCGATCCCACCAAGATCGTATACTTAACCGGTTAGAAACAACAATAGCAATAAAAACCATAATACGAGAAATAAAAATAAAAAACACACCACAAGAACTCACAGATTTACACAATTCACCTCAAAAATGCTACATCAACAGGCATGGCAAACAAAAATCCACTACATCAATGATAATTACATTATAGATTTTGAGACATAGAGTTGCCTCTCCACCTCTCGACAAAACCCTCTTGAGCAAACCTTCTAAACCCACTCTCTCGACTAGATCAACCCCGCCGATCTCTTACCTCTAATCCACAATTAAATTACTATCCAGGAAGAATACCTTGGGAGCAACGAGATTTCTCACTAAAAAGGAAAACAACCCTAAAGCTCTATGGGAACCACTCCTCTAACAAAGGGAATGTGCTAAGGAAATGATATCAAGTCATCACCAGTGTTTTAAAATGCGGCCGCATCATGCGGGATGCACTCGCATCCGCATCGCAAACTGGCGCATATGCGCTTTTGACAGATGCGGCCGCATATGCGCTGCATCCCGCATCGTGCCGCATCATGGCCGCATCCCGCATCGTGCCGCATCAGACCGCATCGTGCCACATCTGTTTCCATGGAAAAAATTTTGATTTTGCCCCTAGGGGAAGGGCAAAGTGGTCTTTTTGTAGTTCCAAAGTTTAGGGAAACTGTTAGGGGGGTTATTATACCCAATAAACGAAGATTTCCAGCCACTTTTGTGGCTTTTTTTACATCAAATCGAGGGGAAAAAATAATTTGGCGAAATTTTTTTTTCATCCAAATCTTCAATTTGGCGGTTGTTTGATACTTGGATGTTCATTTGATGCCTTTGATTGTTGATTTGGGGATGTTAAGGTGAATTTGTAATAAGAAATTGGGGATTTCAGAGGCCGTGAAGAAATCGAGCACTACTTCACAGAGTCGGTAACTTTTTATTCCTTATTGTACAATAATACTGTTATACTTATTTTTGGGGCAATGTCTTCTTCCCAATGTTCTAGTAACAAGAATCCAGCTTGGAAATAT